AGGAAAGGCCACAACAATCTCACAGACCCCAGGCAAGGCGAAAGGCCCCAAAGGAAGCAAACTGTGAATTTTGTGTCACCTTGCTCAGATGCATGTGTCCTTTCTGGGGCTACTCCTGAATAATTAATAACGTTCTTCCCCACACCGAACCCTTTCCTGCTTTTTCCAACCCAAGGGGTGCAGATACCACGCAAACACCAGCATACGCCCCTCAGACGGAGCCTGGGTCTCCTTGCTTCTGTGCTCCATGGGGAGGAGGGTCTTTCTAGGAAACAAGGTGGGTGACCATGCCTCCGGGCTCACCTGGCCCTGGCAGGGCGGGTGCTGACTGGGACAGCCTCAGTGCGTGACAGCAGACACCACTTGCCCAGGGCAACCCCGAATGCCAAGCTCATGGGAGGACAGTCGGTGCATACAGCCTGTTGAACATAGGAGCTGGGAACCAATGGGGTCATGCCAAGAGAAGCCCTGGGCAGCCGAGCAAGGCTGTTGGGCCCACACTGATACCCTCCCAGCTCCCACCAGACCCAGGAGGGAGCGTGATGCCTCTCTGCTCTCTAGCAGGCAATCACTCTTGCTTTCCAGGGGTTTAGCAAGATCACAGTTTTCATTCCTCCTTCGTCCTGCCTTGCTAATGGCAGGTGGAGCTCCTGCCAGCAAGGCTGAATGAGTGATTTATATCCCTTCCAGGAGGGTTCAGGTTAATAATAAATCAAGCAGCAGTGGCACAGTCAGAACCAGTCAACTTTACACACCCCTGAATTTTCCCCTCAATAGTCAGAATGGAGGGTGCACAAGAAACAGCCAGCCAGTGGGGGGGGGGGATCCCGCTCGTAGCTGACCTCAGGAGGCTCTGAAAGCCTGCAGTCCAGAGGTCTCCCCATCCCACGCCCCCCAACAAAGCTTTTCTCCTCCCGAGGGCTCAGTCAGCAATGGGGACAGTTGAAGGCTAAGGAACTTCCTTTCCCTCCTCCCTCTAGCAGTAGAGGGTGAGAGAGGATGAACAGGATCACTTACCAGCTCCTAGGTTAATAAAGGCAAGGGCTAGACCACCTATCTGAAAGGCTTTCAAAGGACAGTAAGTCCAGCCACCAAACCCTCAGACTGATGTGCAAGAGGGCGGGGCGGCTGGCCAGAACACACCCCCTTCCTGACCTTTCTGCATTCTGGGCAGCAGACACTGTCACCACCAAGGTGTCTGACTCTCAATGATTGTCCACATGCAGGAGCTGGGGGGCAGAGTGAGATCAGAATGCCTGGTCCATGCTTTCCTGGGCGCCTTCAAGGCCAGGGACAGCCTGCCTATGGTCAGGACTCCTGCTGGCCCCCAGTCCAGCCGGCCAGGAGGTTTCTAACAAACCAGTTTCTTGGCTAGTCCCTTCTTTCAGCCTTGTGCGTATTTCCTTGCCTTGAGTGTAAGTCTCTCCCGATGCCTCCACATGCCCCTTTCTGCTTCTCTTTTGAATGGGGGTGAAAAGCGGAATGGACCCTTAATTAGCCATCAGCCTTACCTGGCTGAGTTTCCTCCTTTAAAAAATGACTGGATTGCATCATTGAGAAGGCCTCTTCCAGCACTAATGGTCTATAATCTCAGCCACTCTCTTCATTTCCAACCTCTCCTAATAAGCATTCTGTCTCAAAGCTGCCCTGAAATAAAATCCCAGTGGGCAGATGGTTATCTTGTTTCAACAGTTCCACAGTTTGCTGCTGGTAAACTTTCCAGCTGTGAGGACAGCAGGAATCTTTTCTAGAAATAATCTGAAACACTGCTTATTCCCTGGATTACCAAAAAAAGAAAAAAGAGGTCCTGCTTTGGACTGTATGGTAGGGCCCAGTCCCCAAAATGGCTTGTATGTTCAGGCAGCTGGAAGGTGGTGAATTTCCCCTTTACCCTATGCTGTGCCCTCTTGCTTTCCTGTGGGAACTGTGTTAGTGACTTTGATCAGATCCATACCTCATAACCACTTGGGTAAATCTGGCAAGGGGTACTAGGTATCAGGAGGGATTAGCATGTGGGCTAGTTAATGTCTCTCTTTCTCAGATGCTGTGAGTTTATAACCCAGCAATCACTCCATAACACATGTATTCATCAGAAACTGGTAATGCCTGGGCAAACGCTCCCCAACAATGCACTTCCACCCAGCAGAGGTAAAGGCTTGTAGTTACACAACCTGATCAGGTGAAGGAAGCTCATCTGAAATGAGGACTCTACATGTATAACTGGGCATTATATACACATATTATAACTTCAGTATTTGGAACAAAACTGCTTAGTTCTGTGAGAGACACACCTCCTTCCAACCCGATGCTTCCTTCTGAATGTACGGATCCTTATAGCTCTCCAGGTGTGGAGCAACTGCTGGTGACAAGGCCATAATTCACTCTGGGAGCCCCTGGGCACCTCAGGATCCTGTAGCGTCTCAGGTGTTAATATTCTTATGGCTACTTTGAAATAGATGTTAAAATGTGGCCCTTCTAGGTGAAACTGATTTATTTCTCCACATGACATGCAGTTGTGTCTTCTGTGGGACCAGAGGGCACTTTTCAAGACCCTCTTGGACTGTCATTGTCTTGACTCTTACTTGGGGAATTTCCTCTCCATAAACATGGCCTTAGGCAGCATAGCAGCTAGACTATTACTACCTGCAGCAGCCACCACACTCTAGATTTGGAAAAGCTGCAAAGAAGAGGAAAAAATATGCCTTGACACCAAAATGGTTCCAAAATTCACAGGCAAACCACTGGTTCAGAAAAATCTGGGCCTAAAAAATCTTGAACAACTTTAGCCAACAGCCCATATTCTCAGGACTCAGATCCAACAGGACATGAGACTAATTCAAACATATGCTGGCTTTACGCTGGTATTAGATCACCATTTTCCAATTCTGGCTTACAAGTAAGAGTGTAAAAGAAGTGAGAATAAAAAACACTTTTCTGGGAACTCTGCCTATATCGTCACATCCTTGGTAGGTTTTTAATAATTTTGCAAACTAATTGGGCCAGAGGGCTCCAAACCCCAGTTCCTAAGTTTTCCTTCCAATTTCCAGTTTTGCATATAAAGGAAGTATCTAGCGATAGAGTGCAACACTTCAGTGCAAGTGCTTCACAGAAAGACAGTGTTTCTAGCGTGAAACTATCCATCACCTAACGGTGTGCTGGGTGGGATCTTAAAAAGACCAAGGGGAAGGTACGGTCTTATATTTAGAAAGCAAAGAGAAATCAGGATTTCAAATGGTTGGGAAAAACAGCTAAACNTATCTAGCGATAGAGTGCAACACTTCAGTGCAAGTGCTTCACAG